ATGTCATGATCAAACTGTCTTTCCCCCCAAAATCTCGTTGGTCTAATTTCTAGAGAACTGTTGTGGTTATTATTGAATTTTATTTGTGTGTATATATATTTTATATATATATATACTATTATATATTATACACATACTATTATACATTATATATACTATTATATATATTTTATATATACTATTATATGTAAGCTTATATTATTAATATTTTGATTTTTAAAAAATTATTTATCCTTTAGTAAACATTATATTCTTCATGGAAGTTAATTTTGAGAACTCCCAGTTATTCAAGGCACCGTCCTCCACCCTACCCCCAAAACAGGTGCAGTCAGCCACAGGAATTTGTTATGGAGCAAGTTTGTAATGGTTTGAAATTGCTGGAGCTGTTGGTTCCACTGAAGGTATTGTCTCCAGCCCTCGTGGTACCATCATTTCCTGCATTTAAACAGTAGATTCAAAATAAACAATAGTAGCTCAATGGTTGTAGAACCAAAGACACAAAGATCTTGAATTGCATCAATTCTGTCATTTCTATGTAATGACCTGGAGATTTATATTTCAAATTTAGAAGAAAGAAACTCTGAACTTTGAGGTATAATGATATTTTTGTTGGGCAAGTGAGCACATGAAATATTTTACTGATCTTTAAAATTGAAATTTGCTTTTCTGTTAAAATTGTTAATTGTTTTAAAACTAAGGAACAAATTGAGAAAATCATGATTATCATTAATTATTATGTGATAATTGCTGAAGATAGTTGTATCATATAGAGGAGTGGATATCAAAAATGATCCACTCCAGGTGTCAAATATGCTAGGTCTGTCACTGCAATGGATTAAACACGCGGAAGTTTTTAAAACATCGTAATCGACATAAATGATGGAAATTCTAACATAGCAACCTCTAAGATAGAAGACAGAAGTTCATAATGGAAGAACTAAGTGTTTGTAGTCTTTCGAAAATCTGATTTTGTGGTTTTTAAAAAATAATAGTAACTACTATCATTGAGCCTTACCTATATGTCAGGCATGGAGCTGGCATCATACAAACAGTACTTAGTACTCTCAACAGCACTGTGAGGTGGGCATAATTATCCAAATTTAAACAATGGAGAAACGAGGCTGGAAGAAGTGTGCTCCAGGTCACAGGGCTGTGAGTGGCCGAGCTGGGGCTGACTGTGGATTACCTGGTACTAAGCTTGCTCTCTTAACCACTAGGTCATCAGAAGAAGGGGGTGCCAATGCTGACATTTCAGGGATTTTTTTTTTTTTTTTTTTTTTGAGACAGAGTCTCACTCTGTTGCCCTGGCTAGAGTGCCGTGGCGTCAGCCTAGCTCACAGCAACCTCAAACTCCTGGGCTCAAGCGATCCTCCTGCCTCAGCCTCCCAAGTAGCTGGGACTACAGGCATGCGCCACCATGCCCGGCTAATTTTTTCTGTTTTCAGTTGTTTGGCTAATTTCTTTCTATTTTTAGTAGAGTTGGGGGTCTCGCTCTTGCTCAGGCTGGTCTCGAACTCCTGAGCTCAAGCAGTCCTCCCGCCTCAGCCTCCCAGAGTGCTAGGATTACAGGCGTCAGCTACCGCGCCCGGCCTGACATTTCAGTTCTTTACTAGATGGCAGGGCCAGCTTGAGGCCAGTGAGATTCTAGACTTTGTCTAAACAGCCATGCAATCAGATAAGACACTGACACTTGCAAATCAAATCAGTCTAAGAGCTGAACTGCAACAGAGGAGTCGTTGAGATCTTCCTTCACAGGAGATGAAGCCAAAGCCCTGAAGGAATTATTGCACCAACAACCACACAGCTACTACTGGGCGGAGAAATCAGGTTTCTATCTGCCTACACCGTGCTACCTCTGCGCCTAAATTACAACCAGCTGCTTTTCCTGTCCAATTTTCCCACTCTCTTATTGTCATGAGTTTTGGCTTGGAAAAGGGAGATTTGGTGGTATGAAGCTTTAGCCTGGAAGCAGCAGGCTGACGGCACCACTGATAGAAAGTAGAACTGTGTGGGCCACAGTTGGTGCAGGTACTCTGGCTGGGATGATTTTGGAAATTCACTTTCCTTCTTGGGCTACAGTACTCAACTTCCCAGTCACTGCTGAATATTGACCATGTGATTTTGTGCTTACACCCCGGATAAAGCTTCAGTGATGCCCAGGAGGAGTTTGTGCAGAACCATGTTCCTTTTTCTTCTTTTGAGTTATTCTGTCATAAAAGGCTTTTGTAACTTTATTATAACCCAGTTCATCTGCCTGGCTTTAGAGAATTTCTATTGTTTTCCACAAGTCTGTTTCTCCATCTGAAAAACGTGAACCCCTAGCTTAATCATTCTAAAATCGTAATGCATATGACTGTTGCTAAATCCAGGTTCCTCAGTTTTACTCCAGATGTTCTGATTCAATAGGTCTAGGTAGAAGACCTTGAATCTGCAATTTCCGTGAAGGTTTGTTGTAGATCCCTCACTTTACAGGCCTCACTTTGAGATGCTCAAAAACAATGTCGAGTTCTTCAATTCTTCCCAGTCCCTTCCGAATGACAGGCCCTTGGTAAGTGTCTGCTGATTGAAAATTAAGACCACTTCTATCCTCTACTGCAAATACACACCATTTGGAAAATGTTATGACTACTTCAGGCTAGGCTTATTTTAGTGTGCACTGGTATTGGTTTTAATGTCATCTTTCTCAGATCTGTTCATAGGTTTTATTTTGCTTTACAAAAGTCGTGTATAAAAGGAGAAGCTGTTTAATTAGCAGTCTTGTTTAGAAAGGAATCAGCAACATTCATAAACATTTTATGTTAACTGTTAGGACATAGGTTGAAAGGTAAACTGAGAAATAATAATCTATTTGTAGGTACATCTAACAACAAAAAAGATACAACTTAAAAGAAAACATTGGGTTTCCCTTTTCTGATGATATAGAAGGCTTTTACTATTTATAATATCAAAAGAATTGATTAGAAAGATTCATAAAACCCAAATGCAAAGGAAACCCAACAGTCATTTTTGCAATAATGAGCCCTCCCAAGCATAAATATAGGTGGAAGAAATTGAAATCTGATAAGAGTCTAGGAAATCTAGAATATTCTCTTAAAATATAAAATAACATCCCAGGGTGCTTTTGTCCATTTTTGTGGCAGTCATTATTTTTACATTTACATAAAAGTTTTAAAAGATGAGAAAACAATAGGAAGCATATGTTTCTCTGTCATCTGTCAACAGTTTGTGAAACAAACAAACAAAAAGATTAGCAGAGGACTTGGTGATTTGCTCTCTCAGTCATTACAGGGCATTGGACAAGATATTTATCAATTATAGCATCTCCTGGCATTAGTGGACTGCTGGAGGTTTTTACTCATTATTTTTCAAGAAATTCCACCTGGGAATTCATTTGTCCTTTAGGACTTCATAATCAAATTATTGTGTAGCCCAAAACAAAGGCACTTGAAGTTTGGCAAGCAAAAGTAAATTTATTTCCCTTTTTACTCAAATTTCATCTAAAAGCCAAGGTAAATCATTTTAAAGTACCATTTGTGTGGTTCTGATTTCAAAATAAGAATAATTAAAGATTTAAAACACTCAACAGCCTTCCTTTCCATGTTCTTCCAACCATGCCCTATCCAAAGCCCTCTGAACTTTGCATCTAAATTCCTTGGAGTTGCTACTGACCCCTGAGATGTCAGAGAAATGTTTGCTGGTCATCTGCAAGACTGTCTCAATTTAGGCTACCCAAATGAGGAGTCAGATTAGCACCAATCACATATCTTGGAAAGAGAAGCTTTAAATCCCAAGATAAAAGAGCAAAGACAATATTACATTTTAATTTCCCTTGATGTTAAAGAATATTCTGAAGAGATGCTAGTCTAAAAATAGAGCAAATGTCAAGTATCCAGAACTTAAACAGATTTATATTTTTTATCATGAACCACGGATTCTGGAAATAATCTCCTTGGCCCCCAATTTCTCTAGATCACATCTCCTACCAAATGGAGGAAATAGTTTCTTTATAAGAAGTGCTAGCTACTTTAATTTTTTTCCACAAGCAATCCTGGATGTGAAGATCTCCGTCACCCATGTTTTCAGGAAAAAAGAAAATGAAACAGGGGAACATTATCTTGTGTTTACATTTCATGATGACTTGATATTCAATTTACTTACATTTATAGGCAAAACAGCCCTTTGGCAATTCATTCATCTAAATTAATGAACTGTTCCTACTCTAAATGTATAGTATTACTCTTTAATCATTTCCCCCTGACCAACGATAAAGTGATTCCAGAAGACTACTTTTGTTCGGGCTTTAAAATTGAGTCCCAGATGGACGTGGAGTTTCCATGGGTCTTGTGGGATGTTTCACTCTTCCTTTAAATCGTTTAACCCAGTCTTTTTATTCTCTGGTTTTTGCAGGTGGTAAGAGCCATGCTGGAGACTGAGGCCTTGCTCAGAGACACCTGCAAGCTCCACCTGTCTGACAATTTCCAGCCCAAGGCTGGTGGAAATCACAGCAGGCTGAGGGTCAGGGGATTTCTCCTAAGTCTTCCACTTTACGTGTGTGACTTTGTCCAAGTCATGTAACTTCTTGAGACCTCACTGTCCTCATCTGTGAAATGGGGAGACCGGCTCCTTCCTTTTAGTGCAACATTTTAGATTGTGTGATATATCATCTGCAAAGTACTTCCACTAGTCAAAAGAAAGATACAATCCTCCAAATAACAGGAGCCCGCATGATTTATAATGATAATAGCTAATGCTCATGAAGACCTACCATTTGCCGAGCAAAATGCTAAGCCCCTTAGACCTACTACACTATCAAAAAATAGGAAGCTTTTTTTTTTAATTCCACACATTTCAGTCTAGAATACCCCAGAAGCCTTAATTGCTTTTATATATGCAGTTTGACTCAGCCAATATAGAAATCATAGTTATGTTATGGTCTTTTAGATTCATACATCAACTTGACAACATTTCAAGAAAGTGTCAAGATAAATCTTTGAAGTGACTTACAAAGCCAATCTTCTTTTAGAAATATGTATAGTAATATAGCATAAACAAATGTAGTATCAGATTTGCTAATTTCACTTATCTGAAGGAATATGAGCCATATAAAGGGCACAGGACTCCCAAAACAACAATCCAACCTTTTCTCTGGTGATGGAGTCTTTGAATAACTAAGGTTGGAACATCCTGGGGAAGGGAACATTGATAATAAAATATTACTAAATGCTTACGTTTCAATTTCAAGGAATGCTTATTTCCATCCCAAAATAGAATACCAACTTGCAAAGCCTTGCCAATATTCCGTGGAAATTTTGATGAACTAGATTTGCTGAAGTCTAAAGGATTTTTAACCTTTTATGACCTTTTTGCCATCTGCACCTCTACTCACTTAAAAAGTGTACCTGAGGCAGCTAGCACATAGCTGGATGAGATCACATAACTTTGCACATTTATGGCATTTATGGTAGACAATATGTTGCTAATGGAAACTTTTTGACCCTTGAAAGGTAAATTGAATAACAAGTTATAATGAATTGCAAACACATATAAGGATAATTATCAACCCAAATTCTTTCATAAAAATCTAAAAAATACATTGTAGATACAGTATGTTTAAAAAAATCCTTAAAGTTCAACCCAAATTGTAATTACCTTTTACACTACAGAACTAAATAAAAACTAAAGATTATGGAGCTCAACTTCTTAGTCTTGCAAGGACATGAAATTCTATACTTAGAGAAGCCATTTAAATCACTAGTATTAATTTAGTTTCAAAACGTTATTAAGCAAAAAGCAATGCACACATATAAGCATGTGCATGCCCCTCCCCAAACATTAAGCTTAACTACCCAATTTCTGAGCTAGAATACAATAAAAAGGGAAAAGGTTAGAGTTACTTTTATTCTTTCCACAAATTTTAAACATATGAAAATATTATCAATATTTTGGCTCACTCCTGTTAATCCCAACACTTTGAGAGGCCAAGATGGGAGGATCGCTTGAGACCAGAAGTTTGAGAGCAGCCTGAGCAACATAGTGAGATCCCGTTTCTACAAAAAATAGAAAAATGAGCTGGGCGTAGTGGTGTGTACCTGTAGTCCTAGTTACTTAGGAGGCTGAGGCAGGAGAATGACTTAAGCCCAGGAGTTTGATGTTGCAGTGAGCTATGATGGTGCCACTGTACTCGAGCCTATGTGACAGAGCAAGAATCTGTCTCAAAATGAAAAAAAAATTATCAATTTAGATTTAGCCTAGAGAGGCTCAGGGACAACGATGGGATAATGAAAAGAAAGATGTTAAGGTAGAATCACGTCCTTTTATAGTGACCCAACACAGCTATTTCTCTGCCATCTTCAGTCCCTGGCAGACATGTGACCTTGTGGAGATTCCTACAAAGGCATGAAAGTGGGTAGAGTGTTTTCTTGCTCCTTTTCCTCCAGGCCTCACCTACATAATTTATTGGCCATTCATATGCCAAAACCACACTAACTACTCGGGAAAATATGCATTTGCACATGTGCAAGTGTGTCCTACCAGACAGAGAGATGGGGCTCACCTACTCAAAAATGGGCAGACCCAGGGCAAGCTTTCCACAGAATTCTCATATCAGACCAGCAAGGTGTGTGGTGTGCGGGTCCCCAGAAAGTGTTCTTGTTCTAAGGACAGCCAGGGCTAATGTTGGCATGCCAACTACTTTAACATCTTTGTACTAGGACTTGCTATTTTTTCAACAGTACTTTTCTTTAAATATAGGGTGAAAGTCTACACAGACTCGTGGAAGAATGTATTCATTCATTGTTTTAATTTTAACAAATATTAATTGATGCTTACCGTGCTCCTATAGGATGTCCTGAGAATACAACAAATAGACAAATATATAAGTCTCTGCCCTCATGAAACTTATATAATATGAAGGGAGACAAATGTGGTATAGGACATAACCAATGCATTTATGTGAATGAATTTTACCCATTTCTCCTATAGCAGTAGCACTTGGTCTCTTTATGTCCCCATCAATGACATAGTTCTGAAGTTGTGTATTTGCCACTAAGACGTCTTAGAAAAACATTTAAACTTTTGTGGCAGAATAACAGTGTGAAGTACTTGATTTTTTTTCTTTTTTTTTCCTTTTTCTTTTTTTTTTTTCTGTGATGGTAAGGTGACTCCTGAGAACAGTGTGAAGTATTAATCAATGTTTTTTCCCCTTGGTATTTCCTTTTTTACTAGTGGAGAAAAATGGAAATTCATATGGCTCTTTAAAACTACTTCTGTTAAGTCTCAGAGTTTTTCAAACAGGCTTACAGGGAGAGAGCTAAGTAACGGGCTGGATGCTTTTTAACTAAATGAAGTCTAGGCCCTTATAGAAGAGCAAAGTAACAGAATGAAATTAGAGAGGCCACAGAGCTGGTGTGTGCATTACAAGTTTAGGTGACTGAACTTGATTTCCAGCAATAAACATTCTATCAAATTCAATTTCCTTTCACAAACTTATAGTGAGTAAATGCAATTTCCCATTCCAAGCAAACATGTCTCTAAGATTAAAGTTATAGCCCATATAAGATAAAAATAAAAGTTTAAAGTCAGTATTTCTCCAAGGAAATTATTGCAAACTAGTCAGGGAATAATTTTATGACAAGATACAGAATAAATATAAACATGGAAAAAATACTTTCACCCTAACCTTGCTGTTTATATTCTTAGTGTATTAAAGGTAAACATCTTATATTTCCCAACTATTATATATGAAGACTTTCTGGCTAACTCAGTGCTTGGTATTCACCAAATCCTGTGCCTACAGTCTCTTGTTCTTCACAATTGTTCATTAAACTGATCACTGAAGCTTGTGATTCTCTGGCTTTGGCCACAATTTCAGCCAAGGCTAAATCAAATAACTTTCAGACAAGGTCTAACTTTCTATTCCCATTACTCTTTAGTGCTACCCCAGGCTTTCAGCTGAGTGCTTTACTCCCTCTGGGAACGAGTGATGGTGCTAAAAGAAAAAAATTAAGGCATCTTCTCTGATTTGTTCAGAAGTCCAACCCTCAAAGGAACACAGAAAGGACACTTGTGCATAAACAATATAACAAATTTGCAAGAATGCTTGATTGCATAAGTGCAAGGTTGCCACCCTAGAGCTTAGGAAACATTCTCCTTAGTAGAGGGAAAGGCAGCAAGGAGTGAGCAATGCTGGAGTTTAGCCAGAGGAGGCCTGCAATTGCAAATGCACACAGGTTGGGGGCTCTATAGAAGAAACTCATCCTTCTCTCCTGGACAAAGCCTGGGTAGAAATGGCTGCCTCTTGTATCAACACAAAATTTCCAGAGGCAACAGGCTCATCCTCTCATGCCCAGGAGATGCACAGAAATTAGTGGAGCCCTAAAGAAGCCTTGCAGTGGGGTGTGAGGTGTGACAAAGCAATAAGGACGAGATGGGAATGAGGACATTTCAGTAATGCCAGCAGGAAGAATAATAACTCAGGTCAGATAGACAGCCTCCCATCCAGCCCCACCCCTGTGACTTCCTATGATTTAAATTCGCAATGACTTACTGCAACCCTGGGGAAAGAGGTAGAAAATACTCTTTATTGACTAAAACTAAGATTTTGCTACCTACTGAAATGGGAGCTCGAAATAGGAATAAAGTCATAGAAAAATGAAGTTCTATTTCTTGCACACCTAAATTTACGGACAACATTCTTATACGCTATATTTTTATAAGGAGTTTGGTATTTTGGTTTAATTGGTACTAATTGGGGGTGGTTCTGGGCAGGGATTTGTTTCAGTAAACAGATTGTATGTCTTGTATTCAGGTGGTTTTGTTTTGTTTGTTCATTGTTTAGAGTTTGGGGGAATAAGGAGGAAGAGAAGGTGATCTCTTTAAATTAAAGCAAGCAGAAGTGGCCATTTTAAAGTCATTAGTTGGAATCCTTGATTGGTGAAGACTTTTTTTCAAGATAAGCTGATAAAGTTTTGTGAAATTAGAATCATAAGGATTAAAATATAAAATTATTTGGTATTTAAATTTAATCTTGCTCTCAGAGTTGCTATAAAAGTCTAAAAGGTTGCATATAATCAGTGACTTTTCAATCCTAGAAATATGCCAACATCATCAGTGGAATTTTTAAAAAATAAATATACCAAAGCCTTATCCCAGATGTGCTGAATCAGAATCTCTCCTGGTGGGGCTTTGTTCTTAACTGAGCCATTTTGGGCAGTCATTTTAAAAATGGCACAAATCTCTAGAATAGATAGTGTCAGCTGATGTCTGAGAAACCTCTTCTAATGCAACAGGCTGCAAACATCAAAACTATGGAAATGATCATTACTGAGGTCACTCAAAAATATTTATCAAGCACCCACCATTTGATGGGCTTTCTAGGAGTTACTATCTCACATGAGAGATAAAAGGTTGTTTCAGCTTCAACAAGTCAATGTGAGAGGTGTCACATAAACCCAAAGATGAGCTACAGCCTAGTTCCCCACTTATGGGTTGGGCTGGGGCTTTTATCAGAAGCCCAGAGCCAAGCACACTTCCTGAATTCTGCCACTCACATTGTCCACTTCCTGCTCAACTGAGAAGCAAATAATGTCAAGCAGCCTGGCAAGTCTCTCTTTTTGGGGGAGAAGGGATGGAAGTTCAGTAAGGCAGTAGTGCTTTCTCACTGTTCTGCCCCAGGGAGTCCCAACGCTCTCCCACCCGACTCCTGTGCAGTATCGCAGTATCATCAGCCACGCTGGGGAGCCGGTCACATCGTGCTGCCGGCAGGTACAGAGGACTTCAGCATGTAGCAGGCAGCCTTCCTTGACAGCTCCGGAGGAGACAATTTGCAATTTGTATCCAAAATGCACCTTTGATCATATCACTGCTCCAAAGCTTTCCACGAGTCCCCAGTGAGAGTCCCCGCTGCCCACGGATGTCCCTAAGGCCCTGAGCATCTGAATTGCCTCTCTTAGCCAACTCTTCTGCTGCTTCACTACGTTTGTTCTCTCCTCTAGCCAAGTGGTCTGTTTATCTTGTTTCAAATACCCACCCACCTCTCATCTTTGTCCCTGCTCTTCCATCTGCCTATAATCCATTTCCTCTTATCTTGGGCTGTTGGTAAACTACCCATTCTTTAAAGCCCATATCACATGCTCTCTCCTTCTTAAAGACCTCTGTATGCTTTTGTTAGGAATGCTGTAACAAAG